CGGGTGACGGAGAATTAGGGCATTTTGGACACGGGGAAGGCCCTCAAATCGGGCCTCGAAACTGACATCCACACACACACAGAGATACATCCTACCTTATATAATTTGGTCGCGTATCTTTGTGTGTGTGTGTCCGGCGCCATCGAGGTCTACTTTGCATAGTTCCAAAAAATACAAATTTCCTCATTCTTGCAAGTCGCACGCGCGAGTGTGGTCGGAGGAAGGGAGGGGGTCCGAAGGACCCAAGCTATCGGAAAGTCAAATTTCTCATGCAAAGGCCGCATTCCAGCGCCCAAGGCCCGCGAAGCGGGTTTTGGGCGCTGGTTCCAAAATTATCAGGTTGGAAGGTAAGTCCTGTCGCCGAGATTTTGGAAGGCTGGCTAAAATCGTAGTTAGCTCCATTCTGCACATGCGATATGTCATTTTGTAGCTCTCTTCCTGAACCGTTTCGGGAGGAGGGTCCTAGCCCGCCAAAATCGAGGAAGACCGATATACGGGTCCAAGAAGTTTTTGGAAAAATTGGGCGAAAGTGTTTTTGCAAGTTATCTCTGCATAGAGTGATTTGCATGCGATACCTTTAACACCAATCAATAGCTCTCGAGGAGTAGATATCGATAGATCTTGAGATCATCAAAATTGGACACTGGACGGCCGAGATATGGGCCTTTGAAATTTGGACGATTTCTTAGAACTTTTCTCAAAATCCCATACATTTGGTCAAAAACCGCTCGGCGCGTCCAAAAATAAAGCGGAAATTTTCGGCACCTGCCGGTCAAATCCAGCGAAATGTATGGGATTTTGAGAAAAGTTCTAAGAAATCGTCCAAATTTCAAAGGCCCATATCTCGGCCGTCCAGTGTCCAATTTTGATGATCTCAAGATCTATCGATATCTACTCCTCGAGAGCTATTGATTGGTGTTAAAGGTATCGCATGCAAATCACTCTATGCAGAGATAACTTGCAAAAACACTTTCGCCCAATTTTTCCAAAAACTTCTTGGACCCGTATATCGGTCTTCCTCGATTTTGGCGGGCTAGGACCCTCCTCCCGAAACGGTTCAGGAAGAGAGCTACAAAATGACATATCGCATGTGCAGAATGGAGCTAACTACGATTTTAGCCAGCTTTTCAAAATCTCGGCGACAGGACTTACCTTCCAACCTGATATATAAGGTAGGATATTTTTAGCTAAAACAAAAACTCTTAGTATATTTTTTGATGCTCTATCGAATGGCGTTGCAAAAATCCCGAGAAAATAGCGAAAAGATGGAAGATTCCGCGAAGCATATTTCCCCCGCACAGTTCCCCCCGCGAAATAGAACAGAACCTTTAATTTTACTCAGTTTGTAATTTTCTAGTTCAATTTAATTCCAGCTGCGCGCCACGCTGAACACGATGGACGGCGTGCTGAAGGTGGTCAAGAATCTGGAACCCGAGCTAGAGGCCCACTTCCGCAAGCTGTTCGAGGCGCCCATCGCCAGCACGTCCGCTTTTGCTGCGTAAGTTCAACGGCTCGCTTCATCACATCTTTTTTAGGCTTCTCTTCCGGGCCACCATCGAGAACGGCTTCCTGCCGCCGAGCCTACTCGTCGAGTTGCGGAAGCCGTGCGCTGAGCACGCCGCCACGGCTCTTTGTCAGTTTTAAAGCGCTTTTAGGGTTTTATATTTGCAATATTTAAAGCGCAGTTTATATTTGCAATTTGTTGGATTTTTGAGCTAAAAATTTCATCGTCAAGTTCAAACCCAATTTTTTAGCGATGCCGATCGACGATCTCGACGACGTCTTCGCCGACAACAAGGACACTTGGGAGGGAATGTGCAAGAAATTCCACAACGACCTCCACGAATCGATGTAAGGTTTTTGAGGTATAACCAGCTGAAATTCACGTTTTAGCATCTCTGCGATGATCGCCGCCATTCGCCGGTTCCCCGACTCGTTCAGCTCGATGGCCCCCTACTTGCGCCAAATCGACTGGGCGGCCGTCCCCGATTTCCGACTGAAGAGCTGGATCCGACGCTTTTGGTGGGTGATTTGTTTTTGCTTTAAATTCTAGGTATTATGTTTTGAATGAATGAATGAATTTGAAATGCCGAAATTTATGGCTTTTTCGAATAATAAATTTTTTAGGTTGTACAGTTAAATTTGGTGAGATTTCTCGGAAAAGGGAAGACGAATAATTTTTTATGGTTTAGGAAGGAAGCCGTGCAAAAGTGCCAGCACATCCCCGAATTTTGGGAGCTGTTCGGCGAGCTGTGCGCGATGTTCATCCGGATTCAAATTAAGGGCCAACCGGAAGTGACGGGTTGGTTGAATTTTGTAATTTTTGTTTCTTAATTTTAAGTGGGTTTTTAAACGACCTAAAAGCCAAGGAAATTTGCAAAAATTGGAATGTTTGAAGACATTGGACGGCTGAAAAATCAGGAATTATTTTTCATCACTATTTAAATTCTATTTATTCCATTCAATTGAACGGAAGGGAATCGTTTTTAGCGTTTTGATATGTAGAAAGCTATATTGTTTTCAAGTTATATATATCTTTGGCGTTTTATATGTAGAATTATTTACAATTTTAATGATTTTTTGGAGGACTCGACCCCGCTGAAGCCGTCTTCCATGAGCGCGAGTTCGTCAGCCTGCTCAAGGAGTGGGTGACGACGATCCGCTACTTTATCCTCGACGCTCAGGGTCGGTTTTTTTTGGCCAAAATGGTTTTATTTTAATTTTTTCTGGCCTCATGAAATTATCCATTTTTAGGCATTCCAATAGCCCGGGACGCCAACACGGGTTCTCAAGATCTCCGGTTGATTTTCCAAAATCTCCTTCTCGGCCTGTCAATTCGGGAAACGGGGGCAGCGGGCAAAGCTGCACAGGGCGTTCTAGCGATTCTAGAATTAGTGAGTGTTTGCTTAAGATTCGTTTAAAGGACATAACATTAATTATGCATTTAAGCATCCGTTTGAGATTTTTTTTTGCTTTTGTTCTTATAAAACGTCGTTTTTAGCTCCAAAAATCGTACTCGGATCTGATCGCGCAGCTCGACTTCCTCCCGATCCTCGCGCTCCTGATGGTCGGCCTGGCACGATACCATCGAGAATCCCCGATCGGCACCGTGCTCGTCGACTGTGTGTTGAGCACCATTAGAATTATGGTATTTTTACGTTCTAAACTAAATTGAATTCTATAGGTTTTAATTTTTTCGAAAAGCTCGTACCGGAATGGAGGGGGGAAAAGCAAATTTTTATTTTGTTTAGCCAGTTATTATTGATTTTTGCACCATCTTTCGATAAAAACTTCATTTGAAAATGTAAAATTTTCGAACTTCTTCACGTTTGGCTGAAAATAGATAGAAAATGGCCGATAGGGTTCTCCGAAATTTCGGAATTTTTCTAACTCTCTAGCATTCAAAAACTACTAAAAACTATAAAAATAGGCGGAAAAGCAAACATTAGTTTCCCCCCTGCTAATAGCCCAGTACCTAAAACCATTAATAATTTTTTAGAAAGACAACCCGATCGCGTTCGACTCGATAGCCCGGCTCGTGTTGAGGGATGACAAACGGGGCCCGGAATTGATGGCAAAGGTCTGTTTTCAAATCGAGTTTTTATTATAAGTTTGTTTAGCTCGAATCCTACCAGGGGCCAAACTGGGAGAAGCCGGCCCGACTCGCCGTCAAGCAGCTGATCATCGAGATGCTCGCCGGAAATGACGCGGATTGGCTGCAGCGGGAATACGAGAAATCGGGGATTTTTAAACGCGGCGATCAAGGACTTTTCTCGATTTGGATATAGCTTTTGGTTTCGATACTGGTTTTCACGATATACTTGGTTGATTCTTACGTTGTAAATAATTGTATTATAATGGCTATTTTTGTTTTTTCCCTCGGGTTGTCGGGTCTCACAGCTCTCGCTTAATTTATCGACACTTTTTGTAATTTTCTATCTGCCGCAAGATTTGCCATGCAATTTATTAACTCTCTCGGTGTATATACTAAAATTTCTACTTTTTACAACTTGATATTTTTGTATTTTTAGGATTTTTGAACGTTACCTGCCTAATAAAACATCACGAACACCACACTCGAAAATATTGGACAATGACTCATTCATATTCGGGGAAAACTACCCGGCGGGGGACCCAGGAAAAGCATCGATTATTGCGAAAATCGGGATGTGCGGCGCGCAAAATAGGAAATCTGATGGCGGGCCCCGGCGCCGCCGACAGCTGGGATAACAGACGATATTTGGCCAACAACCCAGGGGCCCAGCCACACGAAATCGTGAAACTCGCCGAATAACACGCGGCTCACTTTTTCGTGGTGTTTTACATTGATTTATGGGTTGTTAATGAAAGATAGGCTTTTTTACGTATTCATTAGCCAAATTTCTTTTTTATTGAAGTTTTACGCAAAAATTGACGTTGTGCGCTTTCCTACAGTGGCAAATCGATACTTTTAGTTTTTAGCGCTATAGAATAGAAGGTTTTGGTTTCTCTAAAACGGTTAATGGATAGTTTTAAGGTGTTTAAAAAGTATAAAATAAGGTTCATCGCCTCCTTAGACCCGTTAGTCGATAGTTTAAAGTTGCAATAAGAGTTAACAATAGGAGTTTTTAAGGCTTACTATCGGTTGATTACGTTAAAGACGTGCGAAATTGCCGCCCACCTTCTCTAAAACCGGCGAAGAAACCAAATTTCCACGTTTTTAACTGTTTTTTTTTGGGGCGCCACATCATTTAACTACTTTCTCCGATTAAGAAGTGGATTTTTATGGCTGCTATCAATTTTAGGCGTAGCAGGTAGTTTAACAACGCATAAATAGCGAAAAAGTAGAAAGAAACACGTGAAAAACGAAAATTCGACTTTTCTAATGGGTTTTTCCTCAATCATTTAGTCGATTTCCGGCTTTATCTAATTAAATATTCTATTCTCTACTCTCTAACGTTTCCTAAAGCTAATTAAAAATTTGATTGAAGTCAGCAAAAATCGACGACTTTTGCTTCGCGATGGCCGCCCGGGCCCACAATCTCCCGTTCGACCAGAACGCCAAGAAGTACCAGTGCTGCTGCAATAATCTACACATTAAGGTCAGGAATACGGTAATCAAAAGAATGGCCATACTTTAGCAAGGAGCCCGCATCGTCTCATGTCTATTAGCCATCTCCCTTGCCGTCTCGGTCATCTTCTCCCTCACCAGAACCGCTACCGTCGCTTTTCAAAACATTTTTAGCGCTGGTAAGTGTTTTACTGGTTTAAAAATTTGGAAAGGGTGTGCTAGCGTGGATTATTGAGGAAATTATAGCTTAGGGCTGTTTTCAGCGATTTTCTTGATGAATCTAGGATTTTTTGCAGCTTTTGGTCTGGTCATCTTCGGCATGTTACTCTACGGCGTGTTCAAGGAGAAGCGGCTTTATATTTTGCCGTATATGATCTTCCAGGTGGGTCGATTGATGGAGAAGAAATCGAAGTAAATTTAATTTTAAAATATAATTAAATTAACTTGAATCGCAATAAAAATAATAATTCGAAAAAACCTAATTTTGCCACGGTAGGTCAACTTTTTAGCTGGGAAAGAGGGTTTTCTGTAGTTTTTTTTGCTGTCCATCGTTCTCTCTCGCTCTCTCCCTCGTCTCTCTCTCACTCGCTCTCTCCAGTTCTCTCTCTCTCTCTCTCTCTCTCTCTCTCTCTCTCTCTCTCTCTCTCTCTCTCTCTCTCTCTCTTTCTGTCTCTCCCCGCTCGGCCTAACCCCCGGGCCCGGCTGGCACCCGTAGCGCAGCGACTGTCGACTCCCCTTCGAAGCCAAGGCTCATGGGTTCTAGCTCCCCGGGTGATCGAATGTTTTGCTTTTTGCTTTATACTTTTATCTGTGACAATGTAAAGTGATTTTGGCTATACTGGCGTATTTTTTCTTATTTATTCGTGTTTTTCCATAAAAAATGCAGTTTTTAACGTCAGCGACGACTGTTTCAATTTCAAGAAGATTGTATCCTAAAAGTGTCTTATGATTAATTTTATAAAGAAATAGAAATTTAGTTTGGTTTTACGATGTATATTCGGAAATATAATTTTAAGCTATATTTATCACGAAAATTAGCTTTTTAAATTTTTTTTTCTTTTTATTTTTTTTTGTTTAGCTTATTTTTGACGACTTTTTATGAAAGCAGATTTTAGCTGCAATTTCGACGGCCCTAAGCTACAACTTTTCTTCCAGGCAATCAGCCTCGTGCTGACCTTCCTCGGGTTGCTCGCCATCCTGATCATGATCGGAGTGAACACGGGCGCGATCAGACAATTGGCCCAGGATTTTTATGGATTGGAGCAGGATGGGCTCACCCCAGACGAGTTTAATCACGGTAAGTCTTTCCGCAACAAAGAACCATGCAATCTCTCGCAGCTTTGTCAACCTTCGCCGTTCTTCTCGTCATTTTCATCTGCATTTCCGGCCTCATCGAGGCCTATTTCCTCGAGGTCATCTACCGGTTCTACGTCTTTTTGAAGGTGGGCGGACTGTCTTGAGCTGATGTCGTTACCTTAGAAGTGTTAATTTTGGAGCAAAAACACAAGGCCCTTTTAGTTGTATTGGATCATTTTTTTCACAATCAAGAGCCTGCCCTTTTCGAGCATTTTTCGAGCGAAATTACTGTATTTTTTGCCGTAAATACGACTCGGGAATTTATGGTATTCGTGCAAACGCTGAATTTCTAATACTAGAAAACGATCAAAATGCAGTAAAAATTAATGATGGCATTATCTTGGACTAATTTTGTGACATCCTTGATTAAATTTTTCTTCAAAATCCAAATTAAGAATTTGCTGTTTTTTACAGTATAGATGCGTACTATATTTACGGTTTACGGTATCGTACTGTACTTATATTTGTCGATACTGTACGGTACTTACGCTACGACGTTACGGTACATCACTGTAACATATACTAATGTACGAAAATTACGCTAAGAAAGTTACGCAACGCTACGTTACGGCACGGTATTGTATCTACAATACGTTAAAGTACTGTGCTTACGGGGAAAATCAGCATTATCAGTTTACGGCCAAAAATCAATGTTTTCAGGAACGCGAGACCTCCTTCAACTTCAATTTCGACACGTGTACCCCGGGATTCACCCCAAATAACCCGCCAAATTACGATGGCATGCTCGGATAATTTTTTGCGCTCCTGCTACCGTATCCGAATTCAAATCTGTGATTTTCCAATTTTTAAGGCAATTTTTTTGTAAAGTTGTAAAGTTAAAGCCAACTAAAAATTAATGTAACTTGTAAACTCGTATTTTAAAATGTTTTTATTCACCACAACACCACGATAAAGTGCTGGCCGATTTTCGAGCGGGAAAGACGGAAGTGGCAAAGAAATTGAAAAAAATCGAAAATAGCGGCATGAAATTTTCAAAAAGTCTTAGTTTTTAGGCTGTTACTATCCCTTTAAAATGAAAAATATACCAAGAATAGGAAAAATCACGTAGTGACTACGGGAGGCGCCTATTGACGCGGTGCGGAGGGAGCCTCAGGGGCTAGAATACGGTGCTGTTGTAGGTATTTTTTGAGTTCAGGAAAGAGGTGTAGTGGGGTGGGGATACGGTGGAAAGGGCGACAGAAATACGGAGGAGACAAATTTACAAATATTTCGACAGGGCGAAACGATTTCGCGCGGGTTTTTGGCTTTTAGAACATGATATGGTCGACCTCGACCTTTTCGCCGGCCATCACCGCGAATGTGACGTCGTCCTCGGCGGGAACTTCTGTAAAATCGTGGTCTCGATTTTGTAAAGAAAATCCAGAGTGTCAATAAAAAAACACCACCCCCCTAACTCGAGGCAGAAGTATCGGATCCGAATGGTAGTTACACCATTCGAAAGCCCTTCAAACGGCCAGTTTGTAACAATCCTCATAACTATGTTTTTGTTTAAACGCGCTATTTTACAGGAATTTAGAAACATCAAGGAGCGGTCTCTCTGATTAACGGTTACCTCCGATCATTTTGCTTGGAGAAATTGACGCAATTTAGCGCGTATTCAACCTCAAAGCCCGAGTGTTTTAGAAAAGCTTGTAAGATGGCGCAGTGACCAAAGGCATGATTTCGAAGATAGTTGAAAGCAGGCCGTTTCAAGGACTTTCGAATGGTGCAACTATCGTTCCGACCCGATACTTCTACGTCGGGTTAGAGGGGAATGGTTTTTTGGGGCCCCCGGTAGAAGCCAGAATTTGCTGTTGCAATTCGGGCGTTTTCTGATCTTTGAAAAATTAGAAAGCGTGGCAAGCTTGTTTGAAAGGGTATTGGGTATTTACTGCACATGCTCCCCTATTTGAGCTTGAACGTGGTTGGGAGTGTTTCGAAGCGAGCTGTCTAACCCCAGCAGATGCAGGGTAGAGTCTGCCTGGTGCTGGAGATCTCATTGAGAGCTAACCGATGCAAGAGAATTCAGGTATGAATGAATTCACTAATAGTTTAAAGCAAAACCATACCCCTCTTCTGGCGCTTGAGCTCCTCGTCGACCTGGGAGACTTTGTGGAGCATGAAGACGGGTCGGAACAGGCAGTGCCGGTTTACCATCTGAAAAACAACTGACGATAAGAATACGCGAAGAAAGCGTCGCAAAGATTCGTTGCCGTAATTCCCACCTGCGAATTGAGGTCAATCAGGTCTTGGTGTGACATCTGAAGGCCGACGCGGAACGTCTCGCGAACGACTGGGCGCATCTCGCTCGCTGGCTCTTCCTAGAAACCAAATTTTTGTAGGGTTTTTCAATTTAAATAGGGATTCAATTTTCGTACACACTTGTCCAAAACGTTGAAAGCTGCCTTCCATGTTCCTTTAAAAGGAGAGATTCCCCTTACCCTCATGCGTCGAATCCGCTGGATCAAATCCTTGGGCGAGAGGCTGACGGATCGATCGAGTTCTCGGATGAAGCATCGGCGGCCCATTACGTCGACGATGGCCGTCATATTCTGAAGTCAAAGGGTATAGCTAAGTACTTTTTCATCGAGTCTTTTCGCGATGTTACATAGATTTTTCTCACCTTCTTGAAGTCGTGGATGAAGATTGCGGGTCGGTTGTTGCCAAATGGTTGCACGCTCATTTTCTCGGATTCCTGAAACACATAAATTAACGAATTAAAGGCACCAGGAAGCCCGAAAATCGACGACTTGCATCGAATAAGGGCTCGACAGCAAAGCGAAACGCCAAAAACAAGGGCACAGAACTTTCAAAACTCGCTGTTTTCTCGCTGATTCCCTGTCGCTCTCGATCTATCTCCCTAGCTCTCGCGCTCTCTCTATCTCTCGCGAAAATATAGTTTAAACGACGATTTTCGGCGGAAGCTGATTCCCGCAGATTCCAACTCCCTTACATTGGCCATGTCGACCTCGACGTTCTGCCGCAACTCCTCGGCGTGGCCGTTGTCGTTAAACGACGTCTGCGTGTAGGCTGTGTATGGAATCGGCCTCGAGGCCATCGTTCTGAAAAATTAAGCGTAATTTTGCACTTTAAGCTAATTTTTAAACGACAACTACGTGTAAAAACGCCAAAAAACCCTAAAGATAACTCTAAGTGCAAATTTCGTTAATTACGCTCATTTTCGTGCTTAGAAATGTGTTAGAAGAATGATCGGAATATCAAGAATAATATATTTCCAAAATTTCCAAATTCCAAATAATCCTGTAATTTTTGAGAAAATTAGCATACTTTGATGACCTATTAGCGTTAAAAATGTTTTTTTATAAGGCTTCTATTAATTCACCAACAATCAATCGATACGCCCTTTAAAACACCTCTAAAAAAATATAAATACCAACTTGTGGAAAAAGTATCCGGCCACGAACGACACGGTGAAGATGGCGAGGGCGAAGAAGACGAGCCACGCCCGGATACGGTACAGTCTGTGATAGGGGCTACAAAGTACACTACGGAACGGATGATGGATACCTGTTCCAGTGCTGGTCGTACTCTGGAGGAGATGGAGATGGAGTACGAGCTAGGGGAGAGGGAGAGAGACGAATGATAGATAAGGGACCGAACGAGGAGGAACGCTTCTTCTTGCCGACTCTGAAAAAAAGGGAGAATTTAAACTGAATAAATATAGATACAAACTCTCTCCCCTGTGCTCTGTTTTTTTCTCTCCTTTCCCTTTCCTCTTTCTCTTCCTGTGCGAGCAAGAGAGACAGTGAGAGAGCGAGAGAGAGAAAAAGAGTGATAGGGAGAGATATCCCTAATTCTGCCAACTTACGATTCATCCTCTGGCGGTGTTGGTGAAGGGGTTGGGGCGAGTGGGGATGGGGAGATGACCACCTAAATCCAGGCCCTGGTGCTGTATTTGTCATTTGGCTCCTAACGGAATCTGTCTCTTACTGACCTGCGGGACCTTCTTCTCGCCCTTCTCGTCGCTACCCGTCTCACCCTTTGTGAAGACTGTCATCTGGAAAGCAAGAAATCTTATAGAGTACTGTAAAATTGAAAAATAAATGCAAATTCTGTTTATATATTTTGAGGAAAGCAGATCCAGAGATGTTCGGTAAGGTGAAGCAGTTCAACGGAAAATGAGATAGCTGCCACAATCGACGCCTTTTATCCCGCTGGCTCACGACAACTACCACCTCAGAACAAAAAGCGTTAATACAAAAAGGCGACGCTTGTAGCGTCGTTTAGCGTGTCGCTTAATTGTCGAGACCTAGTCAATAGAAGGGGTTGATTTTGGGACTTTCTACTCCCTTTAAGTTCAGAAACTGAAAATTCAAAAATCAAACGTTGTAGAAATGAGTAGGCCCTACAATAGTAATACGCAACGGTATTCCACGAAACGATACGCTACCGCCTGTTACCTTAGGCTACTTTACGTTACTTTACGATACGCTAAGCTACGGTATACTACCTTACGATATGATAGGTTACGATGCACGACGCTTCGCTAAGCTCCGCGGCATTCGATACGATACGATTGCCGCGAGATTTTAGAGTACGTTACGATACGCTATATTACGTTTCGAGATGATACGGTATTATACGCTAAGATCTGCTATATACTACATACGAAAACTGTTGAATTTGAGCTTGAAACTCCAATCTAACACCAATAAAACGATATACGGCCAGAAGCCCCAATCGACTTTTCGGTATATTGCGCGTACAGAGACGACAATAGAGAGAGGGAGAGAGGGCTGAGCAGAGACTCTTTGCGGAAAGAGGGCCTCTGGCCGACCCCCGATCCATTGTCCACGAAGCGGACAAACGGACAAACATTCCCCCAGGCCCTAGGGGGGAATGGAGGATGGACCCCCGATAGAAGGGGTCCCGAAACGAAATCGACCGAAGAGGGGGGAGGGACACAGAACCAGGAACCTCCTCCGATCACACATAAAGAGAGAGACAGAGAGAGGGAGAGAGAGAGAGAGGGAGGGAGAGGGATACAATGACATACAAACGGAGAATTCTGGCCGGTATACCTCACATATGATGCGCCCAACAATACGATACTATGTACGGGGAACTGGAAGGGAGTAAAAAAAGAAGATTCGGAGGCTTTTTGGCCTTTTTCTGATCGTTTCTTGGTATATGGGAAACAGCAGTAGATCCCGATCACGATAAGTACAGAAAAGGACGAAACTTAGTTCTCTCGGGCGTTTCTCGGAAAAGTGCGAGATTTTGCATTGGAATCGCCAGGATACCTTGTCCTAAACTCATGTGGAAAATGGGACCTTTTAACTGTATTATTATCTCTGAACAAAAATTCTTAAAATAAAAAAAGACTACATAGGCATAAAAATTCCATTATTTCCGAGTTTTCAATGCTTGGTTTAAAAACTTTCCGGAAGCGTCTGAGGAACTTGAAGAAGCGGATGCAGTTAGTTGAAGTTGGTGCGCTTATAACCGCAAAACGAGAAGCTTCACTTTTTTTACAAGATGAGCCGAAGCACAAAATCTAGCTTTTCTGGCTCCAGCCTTTACTAAAATTTGAGCCGGCAGAGGATGAAGATGCAATTTAGGGCCAGCCGGTGTTAGTTTCTCTCCTTTCAACCGGAATGTTGATTCAGGTTTCATCGACGGTAAAAATTTTTAAAGGATAGAAGTGGTAGCTTTTATCATTTTTAAGGCGTATAATCATAGACTTGGTCGTCGATAAATATGATTTGTCGGATTTTTCGCTACCTTCAAAAGCTTAGAAGGATTAATATGCAGCATTATTAGCTAAAGCTGGTCGGACCAAAAATCAAAAGTAAGAGTTCATGGATTCCGTTACGTAACCAAAACTTTTTGAAACTTTTAAACTACAGTACTTCCTCAAAAAAATGCAAATGATCGTACGGGTTTTTCTTGCTTTGCACAAGGCAAAATCATAGTTTAGTTCCATACCGTAAACCACTAGTAGAGTCCTTTGAAAAGTAAGACAATGCTACAAAAGTTAAGTTCATAAACGTAAATTTCCCAATTTTTAGACTACGGTACTCTCCCGCAAAAAATGGAGGTGATCCGATGGTGAAGCTGAGTGTGGAATTTTCGGGTGTAGTGAGACTGTTTGTAGGAATGAGGGGCGAGAGTCGTGCGCGGACCTCCCGATTCTCGGGTGGGCCCTTTCTTGGGCCCCTCTTTGGCTCTTCTTCAGCCCTGTCCCCCACACACCGAACAAGGCCTGCGGGCTCTTGGGTTGAGAGAGAGAGAGCGAGTGAAAAGAGGCAGAGAGAGAGAGAGAGTGAGCGCGAGTCGGCTCATCCCTTCTGAAGAAACGGTTCGACGTGTCCCCCACCTCACCTCACACACGCACCTCCCATTTTCACGTTTTGGGGCTGATGAGTGAACCCTGGCTGGCGAAGCAGGGTCTGGGTAATTTTAAAGGTGCTGGAACACTAAAAAAAACGGTTGACAGCTTTATCTTTATGGAAATCGAATGTACAGGGTGCCCCAAAAAAAAAATTGACCCCCCGCCTCTAGGGGTCCAGAGAAAGCCAGAATCGGGATAATTTTTACACCATTCGAAAGCCCTTGAAACGGCGAAAAAACAAGCGCTTTTCGTTTCACGAATTTTTTTAGCCCGCGCTTTTAATCGATTAAGTAACCTAAGCCGGCTGCGAAATTTCTGACTTTCAAGGTGTTTCTCCAACGTTTTTGCGATCCCACATCTCTTGGTGTTAGCGAAGCTGCTCTGTCGAGACTCCTTTGGACTTCAATCGGCCTTTAAAATCTAAAAATCATAATTTCCAAGACACCATCCATACAAAATGCAGCTCTAGAATCTGTCAATGGTCATGGTAGCAAAAGAGGGAAGGTGCCGCTTCTTGACTTGCTGGTCCCTTTAAAAAGTTCTCTTTTCTTTTTCGCGGATATTGATATACCTCTTCGTTTCCCGGCAATTTTTGAATGTGTTTTTGTCTACAAAATGAAACCCAAAACAGTCCAGAAGCCAAACAAAGCTTTGTCTTTGTTTGAACAGCCGGGTTCGCCCCGATTTCCCTATATTGTTCAGTTTTTTTACTAAAGACAAGGTGACCATTTCCGGACTGGAAAATGATTAATTTGTCTGTCCGGGATCGTTGCTTTCAGCTTCCTGCTCTTCCTGACTCTCGTTCTCCCTCTCTCTCTCCATCTCTCTCTCGCTCTCTCTCTCTCTCCCTCTCTCTCTCTCTCTCTCTCCTTTGGATGGATGTCGTGAGCCTAATAGGTCTCGCCCCCCAGGGCTGAGGTTGGGACGGTCAACATCGCGGCGGGACCCTGTCCCACCTAACTCATCGTCCCAGCTGAAGCTAGGAGGAGAGAGAGAGAGATCGAGAGAGAGAGAGAGACAGAGAGAGATCGAGAGAAACCGGCAGATAGTCAAACTTCCGCTCAAACACTCGGCTATTCAGGGTGCATCCCTTTACAAAAGGGGGAAGGAAACGCAGGTAAAGGCAGAAAGTTTTGGACTCAACTAGATTTCGAGAAAAATGGATTCTTCGATCGATTTGTACACTTTTTTGCAGTATTCGAAGGTCATAGTCGATAGAAGGGATTGATCCCCAGGTCCTGTAAAAAGTTAAAAATTATCTGTATTATTTAGATTTTAATAACGTTGTGGTGCAAATAAGATGCCGAAAGGAGAACTGTATTTCTCCGGATTCTTGGTGGTGTAACGTGTAGTTTTTTGCGCAAACCGGTAGCTGTAGTTTGTAGTTAATTTTTGGATAAAAGCAGTTTTTCAGATTTTTAGCGCCAATCGTACGAGGAAAGGGACGCGATAGAGAGCTTGTATGCGAGAGAAGAGAGCGAGAGAGATAGAGCGAGTGAGAGAGCAAGGGAACAAAGAGTGAGAGGGCCAACGAGAGAGATAGAGAACCATCCCTATAAAGAGACAGTGGGAGACAGCGATTGAGTGTCAGAAATTTTGCATATTTTCATTCCTACACCCCTCCCAGTCCCTTTAATCCCCACGATTTTAGGGCATCCAAGAGGAGCCGTCGCTGCGGTTGTGGTGAGGGTACGCGGCAATCCAATCACCCATCCCCCTTCTGCCGCGTCTTCAGCCTTCAACCTGCTTCTGCGCCTCTTTTTTCTATATATTCCGATGGCTGGGGAGGTGACCTCTTCGTTTTGACGTGCCTTCTCGAGTCCTCTCAAATAAATACAATCAAAAGTCTGACAGGGGTTGTCCTTTCGAAAAATGTGGTTACGAGAGCTCAGCTGATACGGCAAATTTTCGGATTCGAGACCTGCGTCAGAGATTGCTTCCGATTTACCGTTTTTGGAGTATCTATCGTTAGCTTCACTTACTTGCTCTCTTTCTCTCTCTCTCTCTCTCTCTCTCTCCCTTTATGTCTCGATCTCGCTTACTCTCTCTCCCTCTCTTTCTTGGGCTCGCTCAGTCTCTCTCTTTCCCTCTCTCTCTCTCTCTCTCTCTCTCTCTCTCTCTCTCTCTCTCTCTCTCTCTTTCGAGCTGGCTCTCACTCGCTCGCTCTCTATCTCTCTTTCGCGCCCGCTCTCTCCCGCTAGCTCGCTATTACCATCTCTTTCTCTCTGTCTCTATGTCTATCTGTCTATCTTTCGCTCGCGTTCTCACACACACACACACTCTCTCTTGTTCTCTCTCTTTCTCTTTCTCTATCTCCGTCTATCTCTCTATTTCTCATGCTCTCTCTGTCTCTCCATCTCGCTCTCTCTCGCCCATCAGTCTCACTGTGATGCTCTTTCATGGCATTTCGGTCTTTCTCTCCATATATCATCATCTGAACCTATGGCCTCTCCAAGCCCGATGATTCACCATCTGACTCAACCTACCCTTTAGACACAACATACTAATCCTCTAAACGCCCAAATCCCATCCTCCCCCTAACCACTCTGAACAAAATTGGCGACAAATGCTTGTTTTCGGTTGCCGACGCGCTGCTTTTCAGATGTTTTGGCTTGCCTTCTTTGGGGGTGTTGGCCTATGCGTACATAGGTGTGTCCCGTTCG